CTCATCTTTCTCCCACGGAGCAGCTGGTAGTTTCGAACCGCTGACCTTAAGGTTCGCAGCCCGATTCGTAACCACTACGCTACCAGAGCTCCTTTGGTACAGATTTACGGTCCTGGAAACGCTATAAGCAGCTCCACCCAGTCCTAAAGAGTCTCTGTGAGTCAGAATCCATTCAACAGCACACAACGATGACATCTATATAGTATTTTATTGTGTGTTGTTAAATGCTGTGGAGTTGACTCTGACTCATAGCATCCCCTGTCTAGGGTTTCCGAGGAGTAACTGCTGAGTTAGAACTTCCGACCTTGTGGTTCACTGATCCTACAGCACCACACCAGGATTATACACATATATGTTGTTGTTGTTGTTGTGTGCTGTGGAGTTGATTCCGTCTCATAGTGAACCTGCACAGGGTTTCTGAGGCTGTTAATCTTTACGGGAGAAGAAAGCCTCATCTTTCTCCCACGGAACAGCTGGTAGTTTCAAACTGCCGACCCTGAGGTTAGCAGCCCGATTTGTAACCACTACGCTAGCAGAGCTCCTTATATACATGTATAGATACTTATAGTTGTGTGGTGCTGGGTCACTTCTGACTCATGGCGTCTCTGTAAGCCAGCGTAGAGCTGCCCCTGGGGTTTCCAGGGCTATACAGCAATACGGGAACCGACAGTCTCATCGTTCTCCGGAGGAGCAGCTGGTGGGTTTGAACTGCTGAACTTTGGGTTAACAGTTGAGCACTTAACCACTGTACCACCAGGGTGCACAGTCTCCCCCACCCCCCCACACACAAACACACATACATGAGAGAACTTCAAAAAGTTTGTAGTAAAATCCCATTACCTTTTCCTTCCATTTTTCTACTGATCTTTTGAAGGCCCCTAATATGGACCATTCCGCAGCCATATTAACAAGCAGAGCTTTTAAAATACAAACTTTTCTTCAGCAGCTCTTTCCTTGCTAGCAGACCTGGTGGCTGTTGTAGGTGGCATCCACCTGTCCTGGGGCCCCCGCTCCCCCCGCTCACAGTGACAGCAGTCTGTGTCCATGGTCACATCCCCCTAAGCTGAGGGTCTCCCATGACCGTCCTGCCCCAGGGTTCCACAGTCCATGACAGACACGGGGCAGCATGACCGCTGATCGGGACCCACCCTCTCCTTAAAGCGAGTTTGAGTCTGTCACTCAGCGTCACCTGACAGGGTCCAGCCTCCAGTCCCCTGCAGGACCCCCACAGGACCAGCTGGCACACAGGGACCCTCAGAGAGTGGACATGGGAGGGGTGAGCAAGGGGACCATTTGCTGGACACAATCTTGGGTCCTGGGGAGGAACCCCACCGTGTCCCCACCTGCCTCTTGGCAGTGAGGGCCAGTTCCCAGAGGCCCAAGGTAAAGTGTCCTGGAGTCCTGGCCTTGTGGACCCATGTCACCATCTCTCATGACAGGGTTTTCCCAGGACAGGACCCCACAGCAAGTACATGGAGCCTGAGTTCCTGGTGGGTGCAGGTCAGGCATTCAGGCAGGTGGTGTTCACCTACACACTCCGAGAGCCCCCCGATGACCTCCAGGTTGGAAGCCAGGGCCCCAGTCTTCCGTTCTCCCAGCTCAGGGTGGGGCCCAGGACAAGAACTCAGGAATAGCAGGGACAAGAAGTGGGCCTGTGACGTCTCCAGGGTGGACAGAAGTGTGTCCCCAGAGAGGTGGTGACTGGCTCGCCAGATAGGAACATGGACCCAGGAGCCCAAACTCCCCTCCCATCTGGCCCCTGCTCTCGGGGGCCAGGAGTTTCCTGTGAGAGTTGACCTCAGTGTGGGTAGTGGGGTCACAGCCTGTGATTTTCGGGAGTCAGTGTACAGCACCCACCCACCCTGCTGGTCAGGACAGCTGGCAGGTGTGTAGCACAGAACCCCTGGCACCATGTCCCTGGGAGGACGAACACTCTTTATAGAGTTGGCCCTTCAGTTGGCCCCCCTGCCCCCACAAGTGCACTGCGCAATTCAGGGGCACCTACTCTTGGCCACTGCGGTCCCACAGTCCCTCTTGTGGAACTCGTTCCAGGCTCTGGTCCTGCAGAACTTGCTGCAGGTCATGATGCTGTAGCAGCGGGTGCAGGGCGAGAGGCGTACCCCGATGGAGCGGCCACACTGGTAGCAGAACTTGAAGAAAGGGATCCTGTGGGAGGAGCCTGCGGTTAGCTGCTGCCACCACACCCCACCCCTCGCATGCCTCCTGGGCTTCTGCGAAGGTGCAGGTCCCAGGAAACCCCCCACTGTTCCCAACAGATGGGGTGGTGCCAGTGTCCTGGGTTTGTGATCAGTATGCTTGCTCAAGATCCGGAGACACCCGTCCGGCATGCTCAGCATAGAGCCGTCAGCGCCATCAGTGAAAAACGTACGAGAGCCCTGGAGTCCGGCCAGCTCTCCACTAGGGAACTAACTAGAAAGTGTCCCATCCACTTGGGGGACTATCACGCAGCCACTAAATTAGGGGTCATTTTCCATGTAACCAGGGACAAGGGTGTAATGCCGAGAGAGAAAAGCAAGTTATGTCTGTAGATACAGAATGGCACCGATTTTGCCCTAGACCAATAAACAACATTATGATAAACGGAGAAAAGATTGAACTCCTCAAGGATTTCCCTTTACTTGGATCCACAATCAATGCTCGTGGAAACAGCAGTTAAGAAATCAAGCAACATATGCATTGTGCAAATCTGCTGCAAAAAAGCACCGGCAGAGTCTGGAGGGCCGGCGGAGTCCCACAATGGGTCTGAGCAGAGCGCACGAGATTCCGGGCCCAACCGCTGCGGCCGGAACCGGAACTGAGGATAGGAGCTCGGTCCTTGGCCCGCTGGGGCCCACAGCGCCCGACCAGCCTCACTCAGGAAAGAGGTTTTTTAATCAAGGATGGGAAAATCTGAGCCAATTGCCACTCCCCATGGCCAGCTCGTTCATGATAAACACTTGAATAAACAGCCAAAGATAAGGAGACAGAGACGCAAATGTAACTCACCACTAACCAAGGTCAGCTCTGCAAAAAGAAGTGAAAAGAACTTTTGGCAGAATTCTGTTTGATGCCGGAGCAAAATTTAGTGAACCGCCTTCTCCTAGTGTTATTCCCAAACCTCCAAGGCACTTTTGAAAGTTCTAACCAGAATAGGGAGCTGATGGCAGTACACTTAAAAATGCTCCTAAGAGTCCAAACCTAAGAGTTCAGATTTGAATACATAAAACACCATTTTTCCAAAATCTTGGAATCCTTTAAAAGAAAATAGGTCTCTAAATGGAAATTTGCCTCATTGCCATATACAGGGTGAGTTTAAAGTGTTACATGCAGCTTGTATTACATTTTATATTTTGTAAATACTGTATACTTGAGAGGTACATTACAGTTTTGTTATGAAAGTATGTATTTTGCCATGCCCAAATGGGTAGAAGTTTTGTATATATAAAATGGAGAAATTTTAAGTGTGTGCTAAGGCACATGGTACTGAGATTTTTTTTTTTCAAGAAAGAGTTGTCTAATCTCAAGTTGAAGATCTAAATGTGAACAGTTCACTAATGCAACACTGAAAGTTACATCTGTGGCACAATCGTGGTAAACATGCGCTTGTCTGCTTCTCTAAATTGCTTTCTGCCTTTTAATCTGTAATTACTGAGAAATTCCTGTTCCCATTTGTACCAAACTGAATTTGTTTTCTGTTTAATTTTTATTTACATCCAGATTTTAAAATACCTCTTAATTTCATGCCAACAAAATTGGTTGTAATCAAATGTTTAAATAATAATATTTTGTTCTCCCCCTTTTTAAAAAAATCTGCTGCAAAAGACATCTTTTAAGTGTTGAAGAGCAAAGATGTCCCTTTGAGAACTAAGGTGCGCCTGATCCAAACCATGGTCGTTTCATTCCCCTACAGTGTGTGTGAAAGTTGGACAATAAGGAGTACCGTAGAAGAGTCGATGCGTGTGAGTTAAGGTGTTGGTGAAGACCATTGCAAGTCCCATGAACTACCAGAACAGACCAATCTGTGTTAGAAGAGGTACAGCCAGAACGCTCCTTAGAAGCCAGACTTCTCTCACTAACTTTGAACACCTTATCGGGAGGGACAAGCTCCTGGAGAAGGGCATCATGCTTGGTAAAGAGGTGGGCCAGCAAATCAGAGAAAGACCCCCAACGAGATGGATTGGCATAGTGGCTGCAGCGGTGGGTTTATAGCTAACGATTACAAGGACAACGCAGCATCAGGCAATGTTGTGTAGTGTTGTGCAGAACCTGCTCGATGGCACCCAACAACAGCGCTCTTGGCAGAAGCAGACTGCCACACCTTTCTCCCCTGGAGCATCTGGAGGGTTGAACTGCCACCCTTTACGTTAACAGTCAAATGCTTAACCGCTGTGCCACCGCGGCTTCTTGTGGACGTGAGAACGCACATTCTCAGCTGAGGGATTGATTCTGCCTTCTCATCTCAGCTCGGTGTCATAAGCCCCTGTCCTTTCTACGCTCTGTCTGTAGTGAGGTGCCGCTGGGTTGGTTTCAACTCATCAACACCCTGTGTGCGTGTGCGGCACATGGAAACCTGCCCGGTCCCACACCATCCTCCCAGTCACTGTTCTGCTTGAGTCCATTAGGGCGGCCACTGTGCCAGTCCACCTCGTTGGGGTCTCTCTTTAACTGACCCTTTATTTTACCAAGCATGTTGTCCTTCTCCGATGACATGTCTAAAGTATGGGACACAAAGTCTTGTCATCCTGGCGTCTAAGGAGCATTCTGGGTACACTTCTTCCGAGACAGACTAGTTCCTTCCGATGGTCCATGGGACTTTTCAGACTCAATGTGAATGAGCCAACAGTACACATTCCATAGGAACACACAGAGAGCAGGATGATGCATCCATCGGTCGTGAGAAGGTTGTGACCAAAGGCTTGCAGGGACCTCTGGGTCATTTCCCCAGGGACAGTGCTTCAGGTTCGCTGAGCAAGTGTTTGCTGCAGCCCCATCGGCTGCCTTAGGGCCCGGAACACTGAGGGGTCTCAGAGACCTGCTTTCAATTAACTACCGGTGTCTGAGAGTGGGGAGGGGGGAGGTACTGCACCTGAACTCAGATTCCTTCACAGCCCACCCCGCCACTGAGGCCTCCGCCCAGCCAGAGAGCTGAGCAGGGACTTGAGAGCACAGATTCAGGCTAGGTAATGAAGACAGGTCAGCACTTGGGAGGTCAGCGGTTCAAGCTCAGCCAGCAGCTCCAAGAACAAAAGCCCTGCTCCCACAAAGCTCTGAGAGAGAAGAAGCCCTATGGGGCAGCGGCAGTCTGTCGCTCCGTGTCAGAATAGATTCAACAGCACCCAATAACAAGGCTAGGTAGTGGATGCTCCCACCTGTGTATCTTACAAAGTGAGGTGGACAGAGGGCAGAGTTAGGACGCTGCAGTAAGAGGGCAGACCCAGGAAGCTGAGGTCCCAGGGGTCTGACAGGAGCAGACAGAGGGGACGAAGCAGGCGTGAACTCAGAACCCCTTGGGGGCACAGACCCCTTCGCCTGGCTTGCTGTTGTCTTTTCGGGCTGTAATTGGGCATCTTACAGAAGCCCATTTTCTTTCCTCTTACATCACTAGTGCTTCGTTCAGATGTTTCCTTGTTCTTAGTTCTGTGTGGGTTCTAACTCACGGTGTCCCCAAGTGTCCCCAAGTGTCCCCAAGTGTCCCCGAGTAGAACCGCTCCGGGTTGTCTTGACTGAAATCCACTTTTTGTTAACCTTTCTATTGTGAACTCAGTGAGGACTTGTGGGCTTTCATCGTGAGAGAACATGTCACCAGGCTTGACTTCTACAACACCAGCGGGTGGGCTGAACCTACCGATGCCATTTGTACCCCAGGGACCTACAGTGTACACTGACAACCTCCATAATCCACCTGCGGCTCGCACACTCCAGCCCCAGACCCCAGTGCGGCTTGAGCTGCGTGAAACCTGCTGGGCTCGGGTGGGCAGGGGCCCAGCTAACTACACCTTCCAACCCCTGGCTGGTTCCCAGCACCACGGCCACACACGTACAGCTTCCGGCCCTCTGTGTCCACACTCTTGAAGGACGCTGGGCTCTTCTTCTTCAGCCTGTTGGGGGGAGCCAGCTCCGCTGAAGAGAGAGGAAAGAGTCAGGCCTGGGGAGCGAGGTCATGTCCGGGAGCCACTGAGGTGCCCCCCTGACTGCATAGCCTACACAGTCTGCCTCAGTCAGCCCCAGTCTCTGGCCATCCTGCAATAACTGCCCCACGGCAGGTCCGAGGAGGCTCTGCCAGCCTTGTCCAGGAGGTACGAGGGGGTCCAACCTCGGCAAGAAGGTTCTCTACGCCCACTGCTGCTGACGGGGGGGCCTCGCTGGGGTCTCAAGGTGTCCCATCCCTTCTGGGCACAGATAGGTAGCACTCTAGGGGGCTGAGGCCTCTGCCTCATTGGGGTCCCCCCTCCCCACCCTCTCCAGCAGCATCTCCTGGGATGGGGGGGACAAAGGGATTAGAGGACCAGCCGCAGGTGACCCAGGAGCAATAGGAAGGGGGCTCCCATGCTCCTGCTGCCTCAAAACCCACAACACGCAGAGCTGACGGCACAGTCGGGACCCTCCGGGGCTGCCCCACCAGGTGGAGACCCCGCTGCGTGTCACGCCGGCTCACACCCACCCCTCTTGCTCAGGTACAGCAGCTTTGGGTCCCACTGGCTTTCCTTGGCAAGGACGGCTTGGCGCAGCTGGAGGCCCATGTACTCCAGGATCCTCTTCTGCGACAGGAAGGTCTCCCGCTCAGCCGGCATCAGTGTGTGGAAGGGGCAGTGGGCAATCTTCCGGTCCTGCAGTGTTTGCAGGCTTCAGCGTGGGTCCCACCCTGGAGGACTGACCCCCACTCCCAGCCGCCCTGAGGGCAGAACCCCTACTTTCGGCCCCTCCTGCAAGTACTCCACAGAGTCATCCCTGAACTCAGGGTCCAGCCCACCCCACCATGGAGTGCAGCCCACATTCCCAGCCCCCCACTCCCAGTGCATCCTGATGCCTCTGAAGGGTCAGCTCCAGGGGCCAGGGGCCAGCCCGTCCCACCCTGAAGGACAACAGCCACTCCCAGACTGGTAAAGGTCATCCCAGGTGAGTTAGCAGGCAGCCTGCCCTCCTGTGTTCTCATGAAAAGGGTACACACACTGAGCTCAAGGGGTGGGGTGCTGGCAGGGGTGGGGCAAAACCTCGACACCATCAGGACAGCAATGCCCACGCTTCACCCCCCCAAGACATCGTAGGCAGGGTGGCCAGTATCCAAGCCACACCTGGAAAAATCTGAAGTACCCGTAGTCCACGGCAGTGCCCACAGCCACCTTGTCCCCCTGTGTGAGCGTCACAGGATTCAGGATGTTGGCACCATAGCTGATGAGCTGGTCAATCTGTGGACACAAAATCCTGCTCATTTTGCCCCGGGAGGCAATGGACGCCTGGAGGCTGGGAGGTACAGGCCCTGCGCCCACCCGGGGTAGGGTGCACACCTGGGACACCGAAGGCCAGCGGGTCTCCACACCCTGCCCACACACTCACAGGCTAGCCAAATACAGATCAGTGTCTGCTCCTCTGCGCCCCCTGGGGGCCATCCTGCATGTGTGCAGGGAACCAGTGGAGCCTCAGGGACAAGCAGTTAGGGGTGAGTCATGCTAAGGACCTCCACTCTTCTGACACGCCTCCAGTGAGGTCTGCACTCCACAGTGTCCAGCACCAGGCAGCATCCCTCAGAGGCCTGACCACTGGCTGCGCTTGGTACAGCCCCAGGCCTTCCCTGTTCCCCATGAGGTGCAGGGGTCCCCCCAAACCCAGCTCCCCTGAAGACTGAGAGTCATGCCTTCACACTTTGACCCCATACTGCTTTGTCTTCTCTCCGGGGCCCAACATCCCACAAGAACCTTGTTGAGGATGAACTGCCCTGCCCTGTTCCTGTAAGTGTGACCCTCTAGAAATCGGGTGTTGTTTCTTTTGCTGATGATACCACAGAGAGTATGACTGGCCCTAACCCTAATCCGAGCGGCATCTTATAAAAAGAGAACACGCACAAGACCCCCACGGGCGTAGAGAGCATCTGAGCTCTGTCTACAAGCAAAGTAACTCCAAAACAGCCAGCCGGCAGATAGCAGGCCCAGACGAGTGGACACAAAGGAGCAGACACAGTGATACTTGCGTCTCTCCAGAGCTATGAGGAAGGGAACTTGTGCTATTTGAAGACACCCACCTGCAGTACTTTTGTTAGGGGCACCCAAACTGTCCCTGACCTCTGGGTCCTCACATCTCTGGTGTGTCTTCAGACTGACCCTGCCCATCACTGAGGAACACTGCCCCACAGCCCCAAAAGTGGGCTGCCATTCACCTGTAAACACTGCACCCCAGTCTTCTGTCCTGCTCTCCCCTCCTCACCACTGCCCACCTCTCACAAGGACTTGGTGGCACCTATCTCTAGATGCCTGCCTCCAGCTCCGGCTCTTGCTGTCTTTGGTGACACACAAACCAGTTTTCTGTCCCTAGGTGACATCATCCCGGTACCAGCAAGTGGAAGGGGTCCCTATTCCAGGAGCCTCCACTGTGGTCCAGCCAAAACTGAGCTACTCATCAACTGTCCACTCATTCAGACCTACAAGGTCACAGTCTCTGCCAACCAGTCCACCCTCTGCTCACAACACCTGGAGACAGATCACAGTCATGAGCTGGCAGAGGCTAGGGCTGTGAGCCAGAAGCCTGAAGTTGGACGCAGCGCCTGGGAGGTGAAGGGGCAGGGTGTGGACAACAGAAGAGACACCTCCCCTGGCTTCTCCTCACTCCTTTCGGAAGGTCCACATGCTACAGGAGAGGCACTGGACTGGTAACCCTAGACAGGGCAGATATGAGTTGGAACCTGCTTGACAGCACTTAACAACAACAAAGACAACAACAATGTGAAGGTAAGACCAAGCTGTCCTTTTACAGCATGGAGCAAGGTGACAAGAGCATCCCCTCCCCTGCCAAAAGTGGGCAGCAGACCACAAGTCCAAGCAGCCCTGGACTGTAGTCTGTGCTCGACCCCCCTGCACCTCACTCACCAGGGCCAGCTTGTTGTCTGTGCCCCATTGGTGGTCATAGGTCAGGTCACAGGCCAAACAAAGGGCATTGCCCAAGCCCTTAGTCAGCGGCAGGTTTGGATCAGCTCCATGAGCCAGAAGCTCCTTCATGATCTGGACACACAGACAAGTTTACCAGCAGTCACTGGGTCATCTTCCTTACCTGGAAGAAGTCCCCAGCCAGGTCACCTGGCTCCCAACACCCCGCCTCCATCAGCACACTGGGCTGGTTCCTCAGAGAGCTCAGGTTGTGATCCAAGCCCTACAAGATGGCATCCCTCCCGGCAGACCCACCCACATTGATCCCTTTTCCTTCTCTGCCTCTTCCTCACTAGAGCTCCATCCATGCTGGAGGGGCCTCTTCATGCCCACTTCACACTGCTCCCACCAAAAGCAAACCCCAACCACAGGGGTGGGGTGGGCAGGCATGAGGCACAGGGCCTGCTCACCAGGTCATTCCCACTGACGATGGATAGGGAGAGTGGAGAGTGACCACTCCACAGCATGTTAGGATTTGCTTTGTGGGAAAGGAGGAGTCGGACTACTTCCCAAGCAACCTGGAAGGAGAAAGGGAACAAGCAAAACAGGTTAGAGAGGCACCCCAACTTCCAAGGAACACCTGACTCATCATTCACTTCAATGCAATCCCAAAATCAACTTAGCCAATCATTGCCAATTTTCCATAGCAGAACCTTCCTGACACTCAGAAAATGTTCAGCTATTGGCCACATGGATGGATGACAGGAAGGAAGAAGGATGGAATGAGGGATAGATGAATGGATGGGTGGATGAATGAGTGGGTGGATGGATGGATGGATGTGTGGATGGACAGGGGTTATATGGTGGGTAGACGGATGGGTGAGTGGACAGGTGGATTGTGGATGGACAGGGGGCTATATGATGGATAGATAAGTGAGTAAGTGGACAGGTGGATAGATGGATGTATGGCCCTCCCCACTGAACCACTGAAGGGTGCTCCTTGGGAAAACAACTCACTTTGCTGAGGTGCCCCGCCAACCTTGTCCTTCCCAATGGCCCCCTTACCTTGATGTTGTCCTCACGCTCACAGGCCACATGGAGGGCAGTGCGCCCACCCTCAGGGGCCACTGGAAGCTGGGTGAAATAGATGCTGGGTGGTCCTGACTCATTGTTGAGCTTCAGACTTGAGGCCAACTGGTCCGTCTGTGTGACCACAGACAGGTCAGGGACTCGGCCCTCAGCCTGCCCCAGACTCAGCATTTGTTAGTGAGCATGCTGTCCCCAGGCTGAGGTCTCAGAAACTTCCTGGGACCCTAAAGACTAATGCCTGGGCCCCATGTGCAACAGCCCACCCCTGTGTCTGAACCTATGGACCCCCAAAAGCTAATGTGTGCAGTGCCCCCCAGCCCGAATTTATGGACCCCCAAAGGCTGGTGTCTTAGCTCCATGTACAGTGACCCCTAGGCTCAAATCCAAAGACCCTTAGAGACCCCCGTCCACAGGTCCCCAAAGGCTAATAATGCCGGCACCCTGTGTGCAACACCCCTGTGCCCACATTCACCTGGGCCTCCTGAGTACCCCCCCCCAAGCCCGCATCCAGAGCACCAACACTCTCTGCCTCCTCTCCCATACTTGTACCCCTACACCTTCCCACATAAGTGCCCCTAAGCCCCTGACTGTGGGGACATCCTCAGAAACAGGGCACTTGTGGTGCAAGTAAGGTGCTGAATTCTGTCTGGGGTGAGGTGGGGCTCATGTCGGAGGCTGTTTTGAAGCCATAGCCTCAGGGTTCACGAGTCAGATTGTAGTCTGGTCCCACTGTAGGCAGCACTGCCACCCCTCCCCAGTCCCCATATGTCCTGCGGTCTCCCCTCTGAGACCCCAGGACCCACCCCCAAGCTTCTGCTTTATAGGGTTTTCAAGACGGTGACTTTTCAGAAGCACATTGCCAGGACTTTCTTCCATAGCACCTCTGGGTGGGTGTGAACCTCTCCCCAGCTCCACACCCCCATTAGCTAGTAGCTGATCACTCAGCCATTTGCAACATCCAGGGGCAGATACATTCATAAAGAGAATCCACGGTCACCACCAGACACACCTTGTGTGGCCGGTATGTCTCGTCTTGGTCAGCTGCCTGGGCGTCCACGTCAGTGATGGCATGGAGCAGCAACTCTGTTATTTGCACGGCCTCCTCCCCAGGCAGGGCAGCAGCAATGTGGAGTGGGGTAAGTGACCGCAGCTGCAGGGGAGAATCAGAGGAGCACCACTGTGGAGGCAAGTATACCCCCCGTACCTTCATAGGGAACCCTGCTTTTACTAATGAGGCAACTGGTGCCGAGGACCTCTCACTAGCCCAGGACCCAAGGCCCATGTGGGCAGCTGGAGGTGAGCTCAAGCACCTAGCTCACGGATAGGACTGGACCAAGAGCCCTAAGCCGCACTTGCCCCATCCAGTCCCAGGGACAGCGTACAGGCACAACACAAGTCCTGAGCGGATGTCCCTGTGTCTGAGCCAACGTCCCTGTATCTTACCTACTAATCCTGTGTCTGATCATTCAGTTCCTGTGTCTCAGTCTTGGTCTCTGTGTCTCAGATGTTGTCACAGATGTCTCCCAAGAAGAGCCCCTTCCCATGCCCTGCTCTGTCCATGCTGTGTCCACGTACATGGGCTGCCTGAGTGGGTGTCCCATACTGAGCCAGGATGAGGGGACCAGCTAGACTGCCTCTGTGGGTGCATCTCTCTGCCATGTTTATTTCCAGTGATCAAGTGCTCATCCAGAGTGAGGCTGAATTGGAGTTCCCAGAGCTAGCTCTGAGGTTCGAATGTTTATTGCCACTTGTGGTACTATTACCCTTCATTTTCTGAGTAAGAATGGATGAGTGGTTTCTGTCTCGATTTTCAATTAGAGAAAGAACCGTATGGCCCTCGAAAACACAGTCAGAAAAACACAAGTCGAGTTTGAACAAGTGGGTAAACCCCAGCAAAGCCTGTAGAAATGTTTGCCCTTTGTCCAGCATGTCTGTCCTTTCATCTTCCCTGGGCCTACCTGTGGGGACAGCTGGACATCAGTCCGTGCCCCGTTCTCCAATAGCAGCTTCACGCCATCCGTATCTGCAGTCTTCACCGCAAAGAACAGGACCTCCATGGGCACGTGGCATAGGTTGGGGTCAGCACCTCGGTGCAGCAACAGCTGGATAGTCTGCCACCTCTTCCTGTGTCTGGAAGGGCCACAGGTTGAAGGCACAAAAGGCTTCAGGACTGGCAGCTGGACAGCGCCCCCAGGACAGCCTGGCACAGCCCAGGACCCTGCCTCTCCAAGAACACTGGTCCTGCCCAAACTAGTCCTATCTGGGGTCCAGCCACCAAGGTCAAAACCAAGTCTGGGCCTGCTGGGCTGACACCTGAGTGGGTTACCTATGGAAGGGGCAGGCACCACCCAACCCTCTGGGATGCTGGGAGATCATGTGTACCACATATATCTGCAAACACACAAATGCAAGTGTGCATGTGTGTACACATGTGCACATGTACAAACATACCACATACATCTGCAAACAC